AGAAGCCTCCCTGAGGGCAGGCGAGGGGCAGATGGGTGTGGAGCCAGGCTTCAGGGGCCCTTGGCCAGGCGGCTCCATCCCTGGGAGGTGAGGGCTGCTGCTGCTGGCTGCTGTGCCAGCCTAGGGTCTGTTCCCTGTTGCTGCTGGGTCCCGGCTGGCCTGCCGCCTGCCCACAGCTTGCTTGCGCTGCCAGGCCTTTGTCTTCATGGGTTCCTGGCTTCGCCCCTGATTTGGGTGGTGAACACAGATGACTGACACAGAGCAATGCTTTCTTGACACACAGGGCACTCCCTTCTCCTCTTGGAGACCGGAGGGTGTGTGCCAGGACAGAGGCTGTGCCTGGCGTGTGGGAGAGAGTGAGCCACAGGAGGGTAAGGGCTGGCCCTCAGGCCACATGGAGAGCAGCATGAGCTGTTTTTCTAGATTCTGTAAGAATTCGTCCTGCTGAGTGTAAAACTCTCTCCTGCTGAGAGAGAAAAGGCCGCGGAGAGTTGTCTCCTCCCTGGACAGTTCCTGCACTGTCCTTAGGAGCTGGGGAGGTAGAAGGTGGGAGAAGAAGAGTTGGTTTTGCTTAAGACTGGGGAGCTGAGTCTTAGGAGAATCCACCAAATCCCATGGTTTTGCTGGGGACCTGCTGGCTGGCAGGAGATTGGACAAGATGACCCCTTAGCCAAGTGAACCTGGCATCTGCCTCCAGGGCAGCTGATCTTGGCACCACCCCCCTGAGGACAGGTGCCAGTTCCGGATGAGCATTTGGGCAGGGTGCTGAGGCTGGCTCCATTTCAGAGCATGCCCCCTGCCGGCGCACCCCAGGTGCGAGGCTCCGGACTTAGAAGTTGTCATGAAACAGAATCATGGCACCCTTGTCCATATTGGCAGGGGAAATAAAACTCAAACTGAAGAGAGTGGATGTAATGTTCTCAAGTGTAAGCTTTTCTTCCATAAATTTTTAATTAAACCTTTGGCACCCATTATGCCTTCATCCCTGGAAAGCTCTGGCAGATGCCAGAATTGTCGAACCATTTTCAGCACATGTGAATCCAGTGAGACGATTCATAGCTCTGCGGGGCACAGCTGTGGCTGGAACTTGAACAGTTTGTGGTGGCTTACCAATTGCATTTTCGGCTGGTAGGATTGTGCCTGGTCTGTGTGCTGGAATTTGGCACGTCAGTGCTTTGCTGCAGTGCTCAGAGGGACCTGGTGACAAGTGTCCAGGCCCTGGAATAGGTGAAGACATCAGTGGCATGGAGCCCTGTTTTTCAGTTCTCAAAAGTCTGTTTTCATTTCGATAAAAATATGTTAAAATTCATACAATCTTATCAAGATTATCTGAGTACTCACCTCATAGCTTGGATTTGCGGCACCACTGAAGAGGCCCTTTGCATGCCTTCATAAAGGTGTTTGCGTGTTCGATTGCTCGTGTTTGCACCAAGGGAAGGCCGAACACTGCCGAGGTCCACGGTACAAAGGAAGTTCAGTTTGCTTGCATTTGTTTAGATAAAGTGAAGGTGGAACAAAGCTCATGCCAGTGGGCAGGATGGAGGCCAGGCACCCGTCAGCGGGTGGCCAGGGTCACATTCATATGGCAAACAGATTCTGGCTTGCCATGTGGCAACTTGCTAGAGTTCACTGGCTATAAATGCACTGGGAAATATGTGAGGAAGAGATTCCTGGAATTAGAATTAGGAAGAAATGAACTAAGTGTCTATTTAAGGCAGATTTTAGTAGCACCGTAGACTAATGTGGCTTCAAGTGAACAGGACAGCTTTATAGAGTTATCAGGTAATCCCTCATTAAAACGGATGCCTCAGGGTTGTGTGCAGGGTTTTGGTTTTGTATCAAGGCTGGTTAACCCGAACTTACAAACAAAGTCTTAAAGTTATTAATGCTACTTTGTCTGTTTGCATACATCTGTTTGCAGGCATTCACTCTCTGCGTTGGTATTAATTAAATTGAAATACAGAAACAGAACTGGCCCGAGGCCACATCTTTCTACTATTAAAGCCATTCTTGGCAATTTAACTTTAGCAAAACACATCATCTAATTTTATTGGTAGTTTTGTTTGTATTTTATTTCCAAATTTGCTTTGGCTTTTTATGTGTTCAAGGGTGATAAATACAAGGAGTGGATTGCACTAATTTTTGTTTCTAGATACGTATCCATTCATTTACCAGGGATATTGCCTGAGCTGCTGCTGCGTGACAGTCATGTTCCAGGCAGGGAGGATGCAGCAGTGAGTAAAGATGAAGAAAGCTCTGCCCTCGTAGTCTACCATCTAGAGGCAGAAACAGCTCCCAAAACAAAAAGAACCCTGAACAAACCAAAACCTCACAAACAAATTAGTAGATACACAACAAAATATTCGGTGGAGATGAAGGAAAAGTTAGCTGGGTAGGAAGGTGGAGCAAAAGAGGCATTCCCCTTAGGTAAGGTGGTCTGGTTGGGCCTGTGTGAAGCGGTGATATTTACTCATAGACCTGTGTGAAGCAAGGGAGTGGAGCATACCAGTTGGAGAAGGGGGTTTTAGCTTAGGAAGCAGCCAGTGCAAAGACCCCTGAGACGGACATGTGATCAGTGCATGTTGTAAATTTTAATTATACTGAGAATGAAGATTTTATACTCATCAGTACAGCAAGACTGGGCACCTGGGGTTTGAGAGCCTGCAGCAAGAGGTAGAGTAGCCAGCCTGGTGTGGGGGCCTAGGAGGACCCCAGATCCAGACAGAGGAGAAGCCTGGGGGGCAGAAGGCTTCCCTCAGGCTTGTGAGCTGAGAGGTCAGCATAGTACCTTGGCTGAGGGAGGGCAAAGGGAGGAGCTGGGTCGCACCCCTCCCCACCCCTGCAGCCTTTTCCCCCCACAACATGGGCGCGTAGAGCAGTGGTTCTCAACCTTGAGCAGAATCACCTAGAGGGCTTGTTAAAACATGGACTGCTGAGCTCCACCCCAAGATCTCTGATTCAGGAGGCCTGGGGTGGGGCCTGAGAATGCAGTTCACCAGGGTTCCCAGATGATGCTGATGTTGCTGGTCCGGGGACCACACCTTGAGAGCACTGATCTAGAGCAAACGTAGACCATGCCAGGATTTGCCAAAAATGATTGTGGAGAGAGAGAGAGGCACAAAGCCTTCACTAAAGGTGCCCCCAGGGATGTGACTAGGTCTGCGGTGTCCTTTGCTGAACACTAGTGCATGTGTGTGTGACAGGTGTTGTCCGTGCATCTGAGTCCGTGGTCATTACTGTCAGGGGCCTCACAGGTCAGGGAGGAGCCTGAAGCTTGGGCTGGATGGGGTTGGGGCGCAGCTCTGGCACAGGGTCCCAGGCAGTCGGCACTCAGTAAATATGGACTGACACTGAGAAGTGGTGGCTCTGATGTTACCACCTAGAGAGTGTATCTGTGCCCTGTGAATCTGGGGTCCAGCGACTCTTCTGTCCTGCCCCTTCTCTCTCTCATCCTCTGATTCCCCAGGCTTTAGCCTTGTCTCCTAGCCGGGACGTGTGTGAGGTCCTTTGTAAGTGACTGGGGACTCTGGAAACATGAGGTGGTGATATCCAGGGTGAACTCCTGACACCTGGCTTGATTCTCCCAAGTCAAGACCCTCTGCTTTTCCCAGGGGTCTACCTTGAGTGTGGGTTTGAGCACTGGGGGAGGAAGGAGAGGGAGGCAGTGGGCCGTGCTCTGCCTGGAAGCACGCAGGAAGCTGATGGGAAACAGCTGAGCCAATAGCTCTGCACACAGAAAATAAATCCTGGCTTCCGAAGAAGCTGCAGAAAATTGATTTTTTGCAGCTTCAGTGGTCATCCTGAAGGATTTGGGGGATGGAAACAGGGCCCATTTCTCATCTCTGTTCTGTACTGCTGGGCCAGGTGTTCCTCAGGCCTGGGTCAGTACCCCTCACTCCTCCTTGTCTCCCCCACCACTCTGTGCAGACAGGAAGGGGCGGAGGGCTGGTCTTCCTCAGCTCACCCCTAGTGTCCAGCTGCTTCCTGCCTGCTGCCTGCCCTTTGGGCCCCCGCCATGGATGGGAGAGGTGCGCGTGTTCGTGCAGCCAAGCTGGGATTATGGCATTTGCACAGGGATGTAGCTGTGGGTCTATGTGTCTGGGTTGTCGGAGAACAGGCTGGGGTGGGTGCCCTTTAGAGGTTGGCCTCTGCATGACTGCCTAGTCCCTCAGTGAATGCTGCAATTGGCTACTAGGGAGACATTAGCCAGCTAGGTAAGTCTGCTGTAACCATCCCCCTGTGTCTGGCCGGGCTTGCTAGGGGCCAGGGCCATGTCTGGGAACAAGGGCTGGCCCTCTGGCGTGTTTCCCCTACATGTGTAGAGAGTGGACTTAGCCCAGGCCCAAGGGATCTGAAGATTCCCACAGCCAGGGAGGAAGCTGCAGCTACAGATGGACAGTTCCCGGAACTCCTGTTGGCTTTGGATGATTTTATGGAAAACTTGGCCAGGGTGCTGTGAGGCAGAGCTGTGACCTCTCAGCTCAGCAGCCAACACAAGGAGTTGCTTCACCTTGTACAGACATGCAGTGTGGGCTGCCACAACCCTCCCCTGGCCCTGTGTCAGTTCTGCCCTGCAGAGCTAGCTGGGTCTCTCTGGTCCCCAGCCTGTGCCTGGCTGTCAGGAGGGATGCATTCGGTCTTCCTGGGCTGACGTGAAACCCCATGAGCTCAGGCCTAAAGAGCCCCACCCTTTGTCCACATGGGGAGGTAGGGATTAGAGACAGGAGTCTGGACTGCTGTGGTCGCTTTTGTTGAGGCTTGGAATTTGGAAAGGAATCGTCTTTCCTGGTGGTCCTCGCTGATGTGGCATATCAGTGTCTCTTTCCCCAAGTAGCGCCGCCTTGCATTGCTCGAATGTTTCCATCTTGCTTGACTTATTGGAAGGAGCCACAAGTGAACACCCTGCCAAAAAAGATCAAGTTCAACGGGGGTTTTGATGCTGAAATCCCTGAAAAGTGACAAGCGTTTCTTTTTCCTTGTCTTGTTTATAGTGGCAGCTTCTGTTGCTCACACCTGGTGGCCCCGGTGCTTATGCTTGGGGTCACAATGGGGTTGTGAGGAAGGAGGAGGATGGAAGAAAAGGGGAACATTGGACAGTGGATCGTGATGCAAAGGAAAGGTATTTTCTTTTGGTAAAAAGTGAAATGGGAGCCCTTATAAACCCTGATCAGCCCAGAGTTGGAAAGAATAATGTTATGATCATGAAAGTGTTATGGATATGGTTCTTTCCCCCGGATTTGGCCTGCTCAGGGATTCTATGTCCTGGAATTTCATGTATCATCTATTAATGCCATAATGTTGTTAATAATTATAAATTAAAGAGCAGCCAACTTAGTAGGTTCTTATTTGCAGACACCGTGCCAAACACTTTATTATCCATTATTTCATTTAATTTTCTCAAGAACCCTATGGGTAATTACTATTGCCTTTTGAAAGTGAGGGAAACAGAAGCTGAGAAGTGAAATAACTCATCTGAACTCCACTGAGAGGCAGAGCAGGGAGGCCAATGGTGGGGGCTCTGGACTCAGAGCCTGGATTTACCCTATTCTTAGGTACTCCTATTCTTAGGGTGTCAGGTACTCCTGCCTGGGACAGATAAGCAGGGAGGTTGAATGCTTTTGTTGTAATGATGATGAGAATGGTGATGGAGAGGTGATAAAGGGCAGAGGCCCTGGAGCCAGCCTCCTGAGTCCAAATCACCATAGCACTGCTTAGCAGCTGAATGACCTTGGGCAGGTGCCTCAGTTTCCTCATCCGTGCAATGGGATAGCAGCTGTACTTGCTCAGGGGTTGTTGTGAGGATTAAATAGCTAATCCACGTGAAGGGCCTAAAGGGTACATCAGTAGGTGTTGGTGGTGATTATTGTCATCCTCTGTGTGTTCTCCCAGGTCCACACTTTGCTATCCAGGAGGCCCTATGGGTTAGTGTGGTGAAGCTGGCACATGATGAATGTCCAATAGATATTCACTGAACGAAGGAATGCAATTTACCGGGTGCCCTAGAGGCCTCTGGCAATAATTAATCTTCTCTTAAAAGGATCTTCCACACAACTTCCTGCCTGAGACTGACCTGCAGGTGGGAGCCTGCCTCTCATCCACAGTGGCCAGTGTGCCTTTCCTGGGTCTGCTTGGCAGGAGGGTCACAGTCCTGGTGGATCCCGGTGGCTGCTGGAGGCACAGGTTTCTTGAGAGGCAGGTGATGGTAGACCCCAGCCCTCCAGCCTGCGAGGAGGGGGATGGTAGGAAAGCTATGGTTCTCTGAATAAGGGGGCTGTTCCGCATCAATGTGCAAGTCATGGAGCTGGAGCCCTCCCCCCAGCCTCATGGGAAGGGGCTTGCAGAGAGCCCAGCCAGCCAGCGCAGGAGGCTGCAGGGCCTGTCAAGGTTAACAGATAGTCCTTGGCTCTCCCCTAGGAAGTAATTCAACTTCTCCCCTGACTTAGGCCACATTGTTTCAAAGCATGTGGTATAAACTACTGACCACTGGGGAATTGCTTGAATTAACAAACTCATTTTTCCCGAGACCTGAGGTTGAACTTGACTGGGGAGTTCAGGGCTCTTTTGTAGAAATCCAATAGATCAGGAGAACTCATGTTACACCATGTTTTCAACCTTGATCAAATGCACATTTTGCATGATATGGCCTTCTCCACGCCTGCACTCTTCCAGCTGCACCAGATTGCTTGGAACTGTGGCAAACAGGCCAGTAGCTGGCACTGGAGCCTGAGAGAGCCGAACTCCTGCCTGGGTTGGATGGAGCTTCAGAACGACTCCTCCCTCTTCTTCTCTCACTCCTGCCTCTCCCATACCTACCTTCGGAGTGCCTTATACTATGAAAGAAGGGGTATGAAGGGTTAGCTTGAATCATGCGGGCTCCCCCTCCCCCCTCCCCCCTCCACTCACTCTCCTGCATGTCTTGCTTCTGCCTATGAATACCTTCTGAGCCTGCCTCCACTCCACTGGTGCACCCTACACAGGGCCCACTAGAGATGCAAAAGAGCAACAGCAAGCCAGTCCCTCTCCCACCTCCAGCCCCACCCACACAGCCCACCGCCAGGCCTAAGCCTAGAGCAGAGCTCAGTGGAAGCCCAGGGATAGCTCCACACCTTAGAGGACACAGGCCTCTCTCCCGCAGGCCAGGAGCTCCCCAGAAGGGTTCCACATGTGATTTAGGCTGAAAAATGCAAGGGACAGTGGATATCCAGGGCATAAAGAAGATGGGACTCAGGTAAGGAGAGGGTAGGCTTCCTGGAGGACGCTGGGTGGCATTTGGAAGCCCACAAGAGAAGAGAACAGGTTTTGCCAGGCTGATATGGAACCGGAAGACAACAGTGCTCCCCACACTCTGTCCTCTGCCAGCTACATACTGGGGATTCCATTTTGGTTAGGCAGGCAAGGGGGTATGTGGCCCAAGTTAATGGTTCCTAATCCTGCCTAGCATCCTGAGCACCCAGGGAGCTTATAAACCTGTGCACAGACAGCTCTACTCCAATCAATTGCCCTTGGATGGGGTCTAGATATCTGCAATTAGAAGATTCCCAGAGAGTTGGGATGCTGGGCCATGCTCCAGAGACCCCTCCCTACTGCACGAGTTGGCTCTCTTTAGCCTGTCTCCTTTTCTGGAGAGGTTCTTTGGGGTTCAAAGTCCTCAATCAATGGAGACACATTTGATGGACTCTCCCTGGCTTTCAGTGCCCGCATGGACCAGTTCAGCTCAGGCCATGGGAGGTGAGTTCTGGATCACAGTACCTCTGGGTCCCAGGGCTCAGCCACTTCCTATGCCAACCTCTCTCCATCTAATGGTGGACGGCTCTCACCATCTCCTCTGCACGGGTTTCTGTATTCCTTGACTCCTGTCTCTTCAACCTAGAAAGAACCAGAGGCTGCCAGCTTTTGGAAGCATCATGATGTTTTGGCTTTATCTGCTGCTGCACTGCAGTTCTCCTGCAATTTCCTCACTCAATCAGGGAATCCAATTGGCCCAACTCAGAGGTCCATGATAGCCCGTAGATTGGTGCCACAGGTAGCAGATGGGAGGGGAAACATACAAAACATGTTGTCAGTGGGCCAGGGGTGGGGCAGGCAGGTGGTGGCCATGATCAATAGAGATCTCTGTTGAGGCAGAATCTTCTAAGAAGCTGAAACCTGGCAGAGGCATCTCCATCAGGGAGAGCTGGCCGGGTAGTCATGTGCAGGCAGGGAAACAGAACTAGAAAACTTGGAGATTCATGTGCTAGAGTCCTCATTTCCATTTCAAGCATGAAGTCAGAGACTCTATGTGGATGCAGAGGGGCTCTTGGGCCTTCTCACAGCCATAGATATGGTTCCTTCTTTGTGCATCCCAGAGTTTAGGGTGCTGGGAGAGTAATGGCAGGTTTGGAGATTACTTAGCTCTCTTGGTCTTCTTGTTTTAAGGAATTTTCCTGACAGAATTTCCTAATCTGAGCACCGCTGTAAAGCTTCAGGGGCTTAGGAATCTTTTGACATTGAATAAATGTTGTGCTGTATGAGCTTTTCTGGGGAGAGGGGTCCATGCCTCTATTAGCTTCTTCCAGGGGCCCCTGGCCCCAGGCATGTGACAAGGCGCTGCTTCCTGGAACATTTGAGTTGCACTAGTTTCTTGTGTCCTCAACCACAGTGAGATCTGTGGAGCAAATGGCCTTGCTTGGTTTCATCAAAGGAATGCGGAGGTGTCTTCAGAGTCTTTGTCCTCCCTGGTCACTTTCCTGGTGGCTGCTGTTGCCATAGGCAAGTTCTGGGGGAGGTTGCCATCAGAAAAAGGTATGCAAGACAAGTGCGCAGGGCTGCGTTTTATGCATGTGCCAAGAGAAGAGTCTCTTGTCTTTGCCTCTTTTGGTGTTGGCACTTGGCTTAGAAGAACACAGAAACTTGGGCCCAGAAGTGTTTCTGCCTTCCTCTTCCTGGGCTTCCACAAGAGTGCCCCTGGGGTCAGGGGAGCTGCGAGAGCCTCTTTGGAGTGTGTGACTGCAGGGTAAAGAACCTCCTTTAGTTTCGTGGCCCTTGGAGGCAGGGGCTGTGGAATGACTCAAGCTGGCATAGGCTCATATCCAGAATATTCCCCTTGTGGCTTCCTGCCTAGGTCAAGGCCAAGCTTCCTGGGCTTTAAGGGGCTCTCTTAAGAGATCAGACCCAGCAGTGAATGCCTGCTTCGCCCTCTCTGGAGCAGCTGTCATACAAGGTATTAGTTATGTGCCAAAAAGGTTCTGACGGAGACACGCCAATGGCCTTGGTTGGAATGCCGGAAAACATTCATCCCAGTGGTGGCTGTGGTGCTGACAGTGGGTACCGTCACCCTCCTGCAGTCTGGGCTTCATGTGGACATGTGTGCACTATTTATGTGGCTAATAGGCTTCCTTACTGAGGGCAACGTTTACATGCCATAAAAAGTCCATTAGCTGAATTTAAGCTTCTCCAGAGATCATGGGGCCTAATCTGTACTTGGCATTTGACGTGGAGGGAATTGAAAATCCCAAGGACCCTTTCTGCTGGTCTGTTGCTGGGATCGAAGAGAGAACTTCGCTGAAGGCATGAATAGGTGAATGGATGTATTAGGTGAGTGGGTGAGAGGACAATGTCATTGGGGCCAACTGCTTGTCTCACAAGGCTGTGAATAGAAGTGAGGCTATTTTTGGATAGGTATTCAGTAAACAGCCTTTTATTTTTAATGCCAAGTGGCACAAAGTTAGCCATGGTAACAAGACAGTTTTGTTATTTTTGAAGATTAAAGTGTTTTAAAATGCCATTCCCTGTTTTTAAATCAATGGTTTGAAAGCTTTTTTGTTTTTACTCTTCAGCTAAAGACTTCGCCAGGCTGAGAAGCAGTACCAGTTGACCTTTTCCCGCTTGCACATCCTAAGCCTGAGTTTAAGATTGTCTCTGCACTCAGGCAGCGTCCTTTGGCCCATCTGAAAGTGGGCCAGTTCTGCTGGCTCCTCTCCTTTCTGGGAAGGTCACGCAAGTCCCTGAGCCAAGACGAACAGAAGGTTTGTCTGAGTCAATATCTCTACTGCATGCCTGGGCCCAGCAGAGCTTATGTTGGGTCGGTAGTGCAACCTTCAAGGCCTGAATTGAGGACCCCCCGGTCCAGCAAACAGCACAGCATGAGATGCTGGGGGGCTATGAAATGACACCCTAGATTATGAGATGCAGAGAAGTGCTATGGGAAACAGACCCGCAAACACAGACACACACACACACACACACACACAGACACTTTAGAACCGGTGGGTCCTGAGCTTGAATCCTGGCTCTGCCACTCACTAGCTGCATGAGCCTGGTCAAGTGCCATGACTCTCCCGAACCTCAATATGCTCACCTGTCAGATGAGGATGATGATACGCATACTGCCTGGGTGGCTCTGAGTGCTTCATGACGATAATGAGTGTTAAGTGCCATGTAAAGCACAGATACTTGAGAGCAAGATTCTAACAGTCTGACTTTGGATCTTGCATTACCACTCACATGACCCTGAAGCTCAGAGAGATCGAGTGACTTGCTTGGTTTTCTGTATACATGAGTATGCCTTCCCTTCCCTCCTAGTCACATCCCGCATCACAGGTGGTGGATGAGCCTGTCAGTGGTAATGATGGATCCTGTGATCAGTCCTGTCCTCTTGCCAGCCAGGCCAGAGGGAATACCCCACGGGTGTGGGTGCTGACCAGCCCCGTCTGCACACTGGGGCTGTAATGATTTCAAGACCGTCCCCCTCACCTCAGGTTTGAGGAATTTGGAGCAGAAGGGATGTAGGGAGCACTCCCTTGCCGTGGCAGTCCCAGGAGTCCACCCCAGCCTCCTGATCACTAGCAGGCCTCAAGACTAGCCAGGCTGTGGAGCTCAGCCTGACCCTGACCTTGGACCCTGAACTCCACTGGTGCCCTGTGTCATGCACAGCCCTGTCAGAGCCGGCTCCCTGGGCTGAGGGGCTGCTCTGTGCTCCTCTGAGTCCCTGGCCGAGCGCACCGAATTATGTAATGCTGCTGAGCCAACATTTACGCGTCGCAGCCAATTTGCCGGCCTAGAGTTACACTGTGCAGATGCTCTGCCTTACGGCTTGCTTTTGTCTCGGAGGCCGTAAGCAGATAGCATAACCCCGCTTACCATTAGACGTTTCGCAAATCATCTAGGCTCGAGCGTGCTGCAGCCAGACAGTTCATTTATGCTGCGAAGGATATGATTTGTAAAGTAATAAATTTCCCATCTTTCTGCCAGCAATAAAGTATAGCAAGCAGGCGAGGCCAAAGCTCTCCAAAAATATACTGGCTCCCAGCGAGACCTGGAAGAGAGCTCTTTCTGGTTCTGCTTCTCTCTGTTCCTGAATTCACTGAATTCTGGGAAGTCAGGTTTGGGCCATAAATCCCCCTACCATCTGGGTGACCCTGGGACCCAGCACAGATGTGTTACTAGCATGGGTAATTGGCCCCTACCATGACACAGTTATCACTTCTGGGTCTCTCTCGGTTCTGGCATTAGAAGAAGGCCTTGCTGGACATCATTCAGATTGGGATGGAAGGTTGTTGACTGTCTCACCCCTATTTGTGGCTATGTGTCTGTGCTTGGGACCCAGGCGAGGCTCTTTCTCCTGTGAAGTTAGCGGCCTACAGTGATGGGTGTGTGTGTGCTGGTGGGAGCTCCTCTTGGTCTCCTGTGATGGCTGCAAGGGCAAGTATTTGGTCAGCCCAAAGGGTTCTCTGTTGTGAAGGTGGCTGCTCTGAGCAGAAGGTCAAGGACAGGCACAGAATGAGCCTTAGGAGTCTGGGTCCCAATTTCCTTGTTGGAGGAGGCTCAGTGGATGGTGGACACTTGTCACCAGCAGATGCTTCCTTAGAAGCAGGAGTTGTCAAGGAGCCCCTGGAGTTTCAGCCCAAAGTGGCAGCTCTGGTCTGGGACCCTGATGGGCAAACAGGTGGCTTGGAGTCCCCAGTTTTCACCAGGCCTTTGTTCTTGCCCCCTTCTTCTGTTTAGAGGGGCCGCGCTCTGTCTCTGACCTCTGTCGCAGATGATGGTGAGGCCTCGCGCATCTCCCACTCTCTGCTGGTGGGAGCTATCACTGTTTCCTCTGCGGGAAAGATGGGCCTGAAAATGACAAAAAGCCTCACATTTAGCTCTGATGGTTTCCTCTGGCCCTCACCTTCTCAATTTTCATATTTTCTCTCTTTTTTCCTCTTCCTTCTCCTTCTCTTCCACATCTGCCTCCACTTCTTCCACCTTTGATATTTGCTAAAATTTTGTCCTGTTTAAAAATTACATAATGTTTAAGGACTAGATAAAAGTAGGAAAAGGAAGTTAAAGTGAAATGGCTCAAACACAGTCACTGTGACTGTTGTGTTCTATTATTTCTAGGCTGAGGTTTTCCAACTGAGCTGTGGGGGCCCCAGGAAGGGACATCCCGCTTCACTTACGGCAGCCCTGCCATCACCTGTGGACACAGAGCCTCTTCTAGAGTTCTTTGTCCTAAGTGGGGCGGGTAGATAGAGTCTCCTTCCTACTGTCGCGAGGACAGTCTGCTTTTTATAAAGTTGTTCCCAGCATCAGAGGCCAGCTCCAGTGGTGGGAAAGAAGGAAGGCAGAGCCCCAGGAATGTCCCTGCCCTGACTTAGCTCCCACAGCCTCTTTGATTCTGCTGTCTACACCCCAGTTCCTCCACCAAACAGTCTCACCCAGGTCTCGGCTCAGGCCCCTCACTCAGCTCCAGCATTCACTGTGTGTTGATCTCAGTTTGCTGCGGGGTGTGGGGGAGTTATTAGTTACTGCCTGATAGGATTGTGAGGATTAAAGGAGATGATCTGGCAGGCAGAAGGTTTTAGCAAATGTTGGCCAACAATGCAGGTTCAATGTATGCATCGGGCACAGGGCCACCTTGTTGCTCAATCCAAAGGTGCCCATACATGTCAGTGTATGTGACCTTCCCTGACCCTATTGGGCAGTGCACAGCCTTTGTCCTGTATGTGGCAGTCATGTAGGTGGTGTTTCCAGGCCTGGGACTAGAAAATGAGGGTCCAGGAGAGAAGTTTTTTTTGGAGAGGTAGGGGAGTCCAGTGTGGGGGTTAAAGTGGAAGACTCAATTCTTTTGCTCTGCGGGAGAGAACAAGGTTGGCAGGGTAGGGTGACTTAGGCCACAGGGAGGAAGCTGCTTATTACAGTCTTTAGCTCTTTGGAGAAAGATGAGGACCAGAAGCTGAAAGTGTGGTCAGGACCTGTTGGCCAAAAGACCAGAGGAGAAAGGCTGCAGAGAAAGAAAAGTTGCCGTGGGTTACCAGGAAGGAAAACCTGAAACTGGTGCTGAGGCTCTAGGGAGCAGTTGTCCCAGGAAGGAGACCCTGGACCAAACTGCCCTTTCCTGCCATAACTGCAGGGATGTCCAGAGTTCAGGTCTGGGTGCAAAGGGGAGGGTAGGTGGGGACTGGCAGAGGATTCCCTGAACTCTGTAGGACATCACGGGTCATTCTCTCTCCAGTGAAAGGGCAAATGCTTGTTGAGCAGGTACAATGCATTAGGGACTATGTGAGGAACTTGATGTGTATTAGCTCTTGTAATCCTTAGGACAGCCCTGTAAGCAGGCATTAGAATGGGGAAACTGAGACTCAGAGGTGTTACATGACTTGCCCAAGTTTTCCTAGCTAGGAAGGAAATAGAAATAGGATTCCAAATACTTCAAACACTTCCCTCTAGACTGTAAGCAACATGGGGGCAGAGAATGGCTAGTCCTGCTCTCTGCTGGCTCCTCTGGTGTGTTTGCCAAGGTGCCTGGCACACAGCGGGACTGCGCAAGTGTGTGGTTGAGCCCAGGTCTACGTGTTTCTAAGCCCATGCAAGGTCTTTGAAGGTTCCCCTGAGCTCTTCTTTCTGCCCTGTGGCAGCCCCCTCGCCTTCCCTGGAAAGTACTGCTTGTTGGTGGGGGGAGGTCTCGGGTTGACAACACCCTGCCGCCAGCTCACTAGCCCCTTTAGGCCCCGAAGAAACTATTGAGTAATGCATTTTGCTTGGGTTTTGATGATTCGTGATTCATGCTTGTGAGGAAGGCAAGGGAGTGACTCATGCTGATTTAATAAGCCTAGGAATATTCCTGAGAAGTAGCTGATAAAGTGCCGGCTGGCAGCCCACTCCCCCGTGGCTGCCAGCGCCAAGTGCTCAGAAATCACCAGGTTAAACAAGTCTGCAGAAAATTCAATCTTCCCGGCATGATTTTCCTTATTTGAGCTAATAGTATGAGGCGCCTTTCTCCTGGCACTGGGAAGTACACTGGCCTTGCCGTCTTCCCTGGGAACATGGGGGAGAAGGAGAGCAAATGTCTTACATTTAGCAGATGCACTGGGAACTGCTAGGACCTCCCAAGGTTTACCTTGTGCCCTTGGAACCAGCAGCTCCGCCCCAAGGGAAGCCAGCCCTGTGTCCTAGTGCCGGAATGATGGGGTAATGCGAGCCAGCCGCCCCTTCTCCACAGGGTACTGAGAACGAGGCCAGACAGCAGCTGTCCTGGCCTCTCGGCCGGCCGTGTCAGGACTAACACACCTGGGTTGGGCCCACTGGGGTCAGGTTACTCACGGTAAACAGGGGCAGGTGGAGTGTGGTGGCCCAGAGGAGCAGGCCAAGGTGGCAGGAGATGGGTCATTTCAAATGGCTCACCAGCAGCCCAGGGGATCCCTGACATCTAGCAGGTATTGACATTGGGATTAACCCTGTGGGTGGATGGTTCCATGCTGGTTCCTCATGTGCCTCTGCATCACAGTGCTCAGGCAAGAGGGCTGGAGAAAAAAATCAGGGGTGCACCCAACTTGGTCAGTATCTGTGCAGGGATCCTGTTATGGTTGGCAGTCCCTTGCTTTGAAGCTCTGATTCCTTTCAGAAGCTCCTGAAGTTCACAGGAGCAGGTGGGGGTGGATAGGTCACTGGGAAAGGGCAGACCCTGTTCAAAGATAAGATATTTCCTAAATCTGGTCTCCTCTCTAAGTTCTTTGGTGTCCCCCCACCCCCATATGTGTTGAGC